TTCAATGAAGTAAAAAAAAATGGTGTGAAGCATAATGACAAGCAATGGAGCAATGATCCATAACTGACAATAACAATCCAAAATATGCATGAGGAAATAACCACTAGAGAAGCAGTTTGGTGAAGTCTGCCTTCAAGAATCATTTTCAACCACAGTTCCTGGGCTCCTGCAACTAACATGGTCAATGCTGGCTGGAAGACTCTGGGGCTTCTCTATGTGGGTTATTTACTCTGAATTCCCTTCAGGCGCGCTGTGATGAAGGGTTAAAACCTCATATTGGGCACAGACTATGGGCCTTTACAGACTGCCAGAAATAATGCAGCTTGAGTCCACTTTAACTGTCCTGGCTCAGTACTAAGGAATCATGGGAACTGTAGTTTATTGTGGCACCAGAGTTCTCTGACTGAGAAGGCTCAGTGTCCCAGAAAAAAATACAATTCCCATGATTCCCTAGCGCTGAGCCAGGACAGTTAAAGTGACCTCAATCTGCATTATTTCTGGCAGTCGGTAAAGGCCCTATCTTCATGACATCCATGCCTGATTCAGCCTTTCCTCCCCAGAGGGCTTTTTCTATCGTTGCCTCCAGACTCTGGAATGACCTGCCAGATGAGATCCATCAATTAACATCTTTGGACAGTTTTAAAAAAGGCTGTCATGACGGATCTCTTCCGGCAGGCCTTTCCAGACTAAATGCCCCGGCCCTGGGCAGTTCCCTCCTTCCTTCAAGCCGGGTTTCCTTTCAAATGTAGCAAGGAGATTACCTGCTACGATTTGTTAATTTTTAATTCATTTTATATTGTTTGATGTTGTAATTGTATTTCTATTCAATGCCTGACTTGTGGAAACCCATGTTTTAAGGGGGGGTGGGACAATTATTGTAATTGTTTTAACTTGTAAACCACCCGGATTGGGTAACCATTGGGCGGTATAGAAATAAATTTTATTATTATTATTATTATTATTATTATTATTATTATTATTATTATTATTATTATTATTACTTAAGCTAAATTTAATAACCTTATCTTTTGCTCTGGGTTTTCAGCTCTCTCTACAGTGATGATTGGTGGCTGCCTTCCCACATGGTCCCTGTGAACCTCTTGGTGCCACCACTGCAGACAGGAGTTGCTCCAAGTCAAAATGAGTCACCCAGTATTGAAAACATGGCTGGATATACCACTGTGATCTCAGCAGTGGTGCCGGGTGAAAAACAGGGATCACCTGGAAAGACAGTCATCCATTGTGGCTTCAGAGACAGACCATAGGTAACAGTGGGGTTGGGGGATGAAGGGGAAGCCCAGAGTATTCTGGCTGGTGAAGACAAGCTCTGGCAGTTTTTGTCCAATTTCCCCCCTAAGGTCTGAGGAAAACAGATGCTGAGATTCAAGTCTTCCTATTAATACCCTTCTGTGTCCTTGAAAGCATTTCCCACAAATCTCTGACTTAATGGAGTCTCTCTGATGAGATGATGAAATGTGCCCTAGCCATTCTCAGGAAAACTGTCATATGTACTGCATATGTTCAAGGGTTAAGCCCTGGCACTGAAAACAGATGCCCAGTTGACTCCTTGAGTGCATTATCACAAATTAAGCCCCTGGAGATATTCATCCCTCTTGGAATTAGAAGTCCTGTAGGGTTAGATTCCCCCACTCTGACAATCTATAGTCAAGCTGTAAGCACATCAGATTTTCAGTTTCTTAGCTCTTATGCGGAAGACTGTCTGCATCATATATGAGTAAGTAACTATTATGCTATGATAATAATAACAGTTTTTTTCTTTTGCCTGAAATGCATTATTTCCTAGCTCCTCAGTTACTGCCAACTGTTGTTGTGCCTTTTATGTACACCTGTGATTTGTTAGCAACAGTGAAAAATCTCATTGATGCTATAGCTCAGTGCAGACTGATAGTACACTCAGGGCAGTAAATGAATGAAGCTGAGCAGCAGAAGGCTGCACTGAGAGAGAATTCATTTAATAACAGAATGGATTGTCAAAATCTGTTATGAAGAAGGATCCAGTCAGCTGCTGGAGCTGCTGTTGAATGAATCTCTTTGTGTATGGAGTTCAGAAATGGTATGAGTGGTGATGGGGGAGGGATTAAGATGGATAAACTTTCTAAATAAATATCTCCTCTTGCTTTTAAATTTATCCTTGGCTGATTAAGTCTAGATACAGGAAGGAAATGTAATTAGCCGTGTATGATAATAATGACCTTCTATTACCCTGCATCTCTAGACAAGGCCATATAGGACAAATTCTAACATAGTTAGAACAGCACAGTTTCCTTAGTTAAGGTGGTGTTTAATCTGTTCTTCCCACCATACACTTGGCATGCTGTATACCCCCCCCCCCCCAATTTCATGACCAAGGAAGCCAAACTCATATAGCTGGCTGAGTAGATAAAAATTGTGGAGAGACTTCCTTGATCATCTGCTTAAATCATTTATCCTGGTGGCAAAATTTGGACAGATGATAAGAAAATCATTCCAGTTGGGCAGTTGTATGGTAAAATTTAACACTGTGAGGTTAGCTTTGTCATGGTTTGAGGTGGCAGGAAAAACACCCCAGTCCCTTTTTTTTTTCTTTAGAAAGGGAGAGAGAGAATGAATGCTCATCTGCTCAAGAAGTATGAATACATTTCAGAGAACCCCAAATATGGTTGTCACTCCACTCCAAAATAAATAAATAAATAAATAAATAGTGGAAAAAGTCCAGCCTAAATGTGGTTTTTTGGGGCTGTGTGGCCATATTCTAGAAGAGTTTCTTTCTGTTGTTTTGCCAGCATCTGTAGCTGGCCAGCCAAAGAGGCTGGTGAAGCATAAGAAAGAAACTGTTCTAGAACATGGCCACACCACCCGAAAAAACCACAAGAAACTATGGATGCTGGCCATCAAGTTTCCATCATAGTTACCAACATTCACCAGCAACTGTGGTGTGTAGAAGGGTGCCAGACTGCCTCTTGTGTCATAGGATCCTGCTAGTCTGCAGACATAATGTCTCCTATTTGGGGGGAAAGCAAAGGTGAAAAAGATAGTGCTTTTGTGTCACTGCTGATTTTCACATGGTGACAGATTTAGGTAGTGGCATTTTTGCATCAGAAGCCATAAAAGTGGCTTTGAGGGTGCTCATATGGCCCATTCGTCCCATGCAGGGTTACCAGGTGAAATAAGAGACAGGTCTCCTATCCCTTTAATGGTCTGTGTAGAAGAGGGTATTTCAGCAAGCAAAGCTTGCATGAAAGCAACACATGCTGAACAATGTGCTGCACAATCATAAAAGGACAGGAGGCTTATCCCTAATTTCAGCTGGCAGTCCTACTTTTACCTCAGCTGTAACATGTATTCATTACTGCTATTGATAGGCGATCTATTCAAATTTAGTTGTAGGCTTTCATGGCCGGCATCCATAGTTTTTTTGTGGGTTTTTTCGGGCTGTGAGGCCATGTTCTAGAAGCGTTTCTTTCTCATGTTTCGCCAGCATCCGTGGCTAGCATCTTTCTCTGAAGATGCTAGCCACAGATGCTGGCGAAATGTTAGAAAGAAACTCTTCTAGAACATGGCCACACAGCCCGAAAAAACCCACAAAAAAACTATTCAAATTTAGTTTGAACTTCTCATCAGCTATGGAAGAAAAAGGAAACAACCAAAATTACCAGTAAGAAGATTAAACCAAGTTAAAAGTATGTCAGTAAAAGCAATTCACAAATCTAGTTCTGCCCATTTTATCCTAAATATGATTCCTTAATCCCAAATCTCATTTTGGCCAACAACAACATCAGAAACAGAATCTGCAATAGTCAGATTGGTTATAGTCACTATTGTTAATCTACCTTTATATTCACCATATGAAAATTGGCATGCATCTGTGTTAATGATAAGCAAAATGGGGTAAGAATAATATATCCAGTGCATATCTACAAATCTAGATACAAATCTATCCCCCTACCAACCAGTAATCTCAGGAATCACAGTATTCTAACAGAACAGCTCAAATTGTCTTATCACACCTCCCTCACAAATCTGTAGTTCCTAGGATTTCCCAGGTTCAAGGAATGCCTGTTAAATCCAGTTTCAGTCTAGCAAGAAAATGAGCAATACACATGCAACTTGAACAAAAAATGTGTGGAGTGAGAACAACAAAAATGTATAACAAGAGTGTATCTTTTACTGAAAAACAGATAAATAGGGGAAATATTTTATTTCAGACTATGGCAAAGTGTACATTAGGTAGGCTTGGTTCCATCATGGAAACCTAGAGTGGTGTAGTGTTTTGAGTGTTAAAATAGGGAGAGCAGTGTTTGAATCTTTGTTCAGTTATGAAAATCTACTGAGTGACCTTAGGCACATCATACTCTCTCAGCAATGGATATGTGAAATATGCAACATCTTCCTTGTAGCTCCTTCACACAGACTACAGTTGGCCCTCCATTTTCATGGGGATCCGTTCTGGACGGACACACACCACAAAAACAGAGATAGGCTTGAATGTGGTGTGCGCCCTCGGGGGCGTGATCCATTAATTTAAATGGAGGTTGCCTCTCTGTGAATATATAAAACCATGGACATGAAGTCCACGAGGACAGAGGGGCGACTGTATAGTGACAGCAATCAAATAAAAAATTGTTTTATTTTGCTTTAAAAAACAAAAAGCAAACAAATTAAATACTTCATAAACATTTACATTATATTACCAGTGATATATAACATTTTGAACCTATTGGATCTATTACGTAGGGTTTCAACAGAAGTGATTTACATGGAATATATTGCATTTTGATACTAACTTCAGATATCATTGAATAAACACTCACTGTTGTTTGCATCAATATTTGAAATTGTTTTGCAATTGTTTACTTTTTAAATTGTTTTCACTGAACTCTGAAATCTCTAGATATGTTAACAAATGCAATAGAATACAAACACACTATTATAAATTTCTGTTAACACATCTAAGTTGGACTTCATTTTCCCTATTAGGATGGAAGTCTAAGTCATATAGAGCCAGTGTAGTGTAGTGGTTTGAATGTTGGACTAGGACTCTGAGAGACCAGGATTCAAATCCCTGCTTAGCCAAGGAAACCCGTTGAGTGACCTTGAGCAACTCACATTCTGTCAACCTCAGGGGAAGGCAGTGGCAAACCTCTGAATAAATCTAACCTAGAAAATCCTGTGATCAGGCTACCTCAGGGTAGCCACAAGTGAGAAATAACTTGATGGCACACAACAATGCAAATAACGACTCATGTTAAACCTCCAAATTTAACATGAAAGCAGAACTATATGTCTGGCATAAGTCTTGTGGTCCTTTTTAGGGCAAACCAACAGCAGTCTCAAAAATACCTTCTGACCTCGAAATGGCCAAGATTTTGACAACTCTCTAAATTCAAATGTGAAAAGTGACATTCACTCCTTTCCAGCATTAAACATTTAGACTGTAATCTTATTGGTCAAAGTGTAGACCAGGGGTAGGCAACCTTTCCCCTTTAAGGACCAAGGGACTTCAGCTCCCATAAGCCTCAGCCATGTTGGCCAATAATCCCATGTTGGCCAATAGCTCCTGGGATTCTGGGAGCTGAAGTCATTTGGCCCTTAAAGGGGAAAGGTTGCCTACCCCTGGTGTAGACACAAAAATGTGGGCCTCTCCCTACCTGAGCAGAGGTTTGAGATCACAGTTGAATCCTCCATTTGCTACTGCAGCTACCCCACTGGCTGAGCTTTGTGGAGAATATGGGTAAAATGAACATCAGGGATTTATCTGTGACATATCAGAGGAAGCTTTGGATCCAATGTGTCTCTGGACACATCAAAACCAGGAGGAAAACTGCAAACCCTGAAAATGGCACGGTTCTTTTCTCTCCAACTGGAACCAGTGGGATAGCAAACATTTTAAACCAAACCAGTAAGTGGGAAAGGGTGGAAGAGACAAAAGCTACTTGTCCATCTTTCATTGTGTGCAGCACAAGTCAGTTCACAGTGAAAGCACACAGTTCTACCATCCGAGATCTCCATAGGAATGCTCAGCTTAATAATTGTTTATTTCAACCTAATGATTCATTGCTGGCAGTACCATTGGAATATAAATGCCAGCATGGATGGATGAGTAGGTAGGTAGATAGGTAGATAGATAACAGATAGACAGTTCTTTTGATACTCTCTAAAGACGTTATCACACATGGGCCAATTTCATTGTTAAAGAGATAATAAAGT